CTGGCTCTGTGGCCATTATTAAGTAGAATACGGGTTACATGTGCACAAGCATTGCGATACCACAACAGTCAACCTGACAACCAAGACAGCTACTAAGTGACTAATGAATGAGCGGGAAGCATACACTAGTATAGTGCGGAGACACCGACAAAGGGGATGATTCCATCCTGGGTTGGATGGAGTGCGGTGAGAGAGATTTCATCACGCTACTCAGAACATCATGCAATTTAAAACGTATGAACTATTTATTTATGGAATTTCCCACTTAATATTTTCAGATCACAGTTGACCACAGGTACCTGCAACTGTGGGAAGCTAGACTGTGGATAAGAGGAGACTACTGTATGTTTAACAAATCCGTGGTAAAATTCACGAAACTGTAAGTTCCGAGAGAACTCTGGCTGTCCTTATTCGTGTCCTCTACCCTCTGTCACACGTGTGACTATATTCCCAGTGCCAGGCATGTAAAGGGCACTCAGTGAACCGGTGGGGGTTTGAGGCATGGCTTCTACGAACCTTGGGCTGTTTAGTTATTATGGAGGCAGATTTGCTAGACAGTGTATTCCCCCGATGTGCTAGCCAATGTTTCACCCTTGCCTTTTACATTTCCTACCCCACACAGCCCCAGAGGGCCCCTGTGTAAGGAACTATCTTGCCAATGTGTGCACTCTTCAGGAACTCCAGTCAAAAAGGGCTCTGTGGACCAATCAGAGCCTCTCTTTTGGAGAGCTACGGATGTGGGGTACACGCAAGCAGCAGAGAAAAGAGGCTGATGCAGAGGAAGGGCCAAAAACATGATGTCCAGGTTGCTGGAGCTGCCATTACATTCTGACCAATGTCCCTGATCCCATGAGGTTTCCTGAGCTTCCTATGCTAAACCCCACACTTGAGCTAACCTGAGTGTGTATCTTATAACCTTTCAAACTGCCAGGGCTTGTATAATGGGGACAAAGAGAGGAAATGAGGATTCCAACCGATAAAACATCTTAGAGGCACCCAGGGACCTATTGCTGCCAAGAGAGACTGTAGATATAAATTGGGGGGCGGAAGGGGGGGAGAAACAAACAAAAACTTAAGTCCTTGGGAGGAGGCCATTCTCAGACAAGTATGCTGGGGCCGGTACTGACAGCAAAGGCAGTAACCTTGCACTTATCTTCAATCTGGATTCCTTCAGAACCATAATTCATACCATAAAGTTTCCCTCTTAAAGTGTACAATCCAGTGGTTTTTAGTAGAGTCACAAGATTGTGCAACCATTCCAACCATCTAATTCCACATTTTCATCACCCCTGTGCCTACTAATGGTCACCTCTTTCCCATTCCCACCTGCTCCCAGCCTCTGGCAACTCCTAATCTATTCTCTATCTCCATGGGTCTTTCCATTCTGTACATGTCATATAAATGGAATCATGCAGCCCTGGACATTTTGGTTCAGTGGATAGAGCATCAGCCTGTGGACTAAAGGGTCCCAGCTTCTATTCCCAGGTTCAATTCTGGCCAAGGGCACATGCCGGGGTTGCGGGCTCGATTTCCCCCCCAGTAGGGGATGTGTAGGAGGCAGTCAATCAATGATTCTCTCTCAAGGGTGATGTTTCTATCTCTCTCTCTCCCTTCCTCTCTCAAATCAATACAAGTATTAAAAAATTAAAAATAGCCCTGACTGGTTTGGCTCAGTGGATAGAGTATTGGCCTGCGGACTAAAGCGTCATGGGTTCAATTCCAGTCAAGGGCACATTGTCCGGGTTGCAGGCTCGATCCCCAGTAAGGGGCTTGCATGAGGCAGCCAATCAATGATTCTCTCTCATCATTGATGTGTCTGTCTCTCTCCCTCTCCCTTTCTCTCTGAAATCAATAAAAATAAAAAATATTTTTTTAAAATAGAAAAGATTATGTGAATCAGAACTTCCTTTCATTTTATGCTGAGTAACATTCCATTGTATAGATACATCTTTTGTTTGTTCATACTTCAGTTGATGGAGATTGGGTTGTTTCCACTTGTTTACTATTATGAATAATGTTGCTATGAACATTTGTGTGCAAATTTTTGTGTGAATGTGTGTTTAGTTCTCTGGTTATATACCTAAAAGAAGAATTGTTGAGTCCTATAGTAACGTTATGCTTAACTTTTTGAGGAACCGCCAAACTGTTGTCTATAGCGGCTGCACCATTTTACCTTCCCACCAGCAATGCATAAAGTTTCCAATTTCTCCACATTCTTGCCAACACTTTGCTAGTATCCATTTTTTGATGCTAGTCATCCTTGTGGGTGTAAAGTGGCATTTCATTATGGCTTTGATTTGCCGATCTGACAAAAATATAGGTACACTTTTGATTCATTCACACGGGACAACTACTGTTGTGTTGGCTGTTGTCAGTTTTTAATTGGACAATCTAAGGGGAAAGAGGTCAGTGCCCCTGACTCCACAGTCAGGTATTGCATGTTTTAAAAATTCTTGCAGCACATCTATGTGCCTCTTGCGGCATACTGGTTAAAAATTGCTACGTTGGACAAATGCCAGGAGCCACCCACACACACACACACACCACAAAAGATTTGCCAGCTCACTTACGCTCAGGGCATGACTCCGCAGGTGCTCCTGTCGAGTGAATCTCTTGCCACAGATCTCACAGGGGTAGGGCCGCTCACCCGTGTGTGAGCGGATGTGCCGCTTAAGGATGCCCTTCTGTTTGGCAGTGTAAGGGCAGAAAGGACATCTGTGGAGCTTGATGGGGACCACCAGCACATCGCCTAGGAAACCAAATAGATTAATTTAGCTGTGCTGTAAGCAGCAACAACACTGGCCACGCCTCCGATGGATGGGATCTGGGGCTGCAGAATGCCACCAGCGCAGGTCATGATGGCGGATGGACCAGACCTCTGGACTAGGTTTCACGTTTTGACAGTAGCTCCTCAGAAGAGTTTCCAGGCATGTACAGAAGAGGTATGCAATGATGCAGACTCAAATTGTTGGAATTCACAGTCACTCTATATATATCTGAAATCATCAAATATCCAGGAATTCACTTAAATCTCTTTCCAACTCTTTTTGTTTGTTTGTTTACCTTGCTCATACAACCATTAAGGTGACTGTATAGAAACTGTTCCTTTCAAGTTACATGAGTTACCCTTACTGCAGCATTCCAAGACTTGTTCCCTCTATCCATGCCCTTCAGATAGATATATCTGAGCTTA